TTTTAGTAGAGACGGGGTTTCACCATGTTGACCAGGATGGTCTCGATCTCTTGACCTTGTGATCCACCCGCCTTGGCCTCCCAAAGTGCTGGGATTACAGGCTTGAGCCACCCCGCCCGGCCAATAATTACATTGTTAATATTAGTTTAAATAAATCCATCTGAACTTACAGCTATTACAAAGCATGTCTAATATGTCCACAGAATTTAAAATCTGAGAGGTAATTACCTGGAAAAATAGTTAACTGAAAAGTCTAAAGATAGATCCTGTTTCACTTATACTTAAAAATGAGCTATGGAAAAGAACTTGAGGATTACTAGCTTTAAAATAGACCTTGTTACTTCTCATTCAGGGAATTAAGAGATATATAATTTCTAGCAACTTTTTCTATTTTATACTGAAGACATCCCCCACCAAGACCAATTACCTCCTGGCCAAGTGAAATTCAAACACATTAACTTTAACTTTTTAAGTTAGAAGCAACATTTCTCCAACAATATCTTTAAGATGATAATTAGAGCACAATCATTGTTACCACAACTAATTTTGATCCCTATAGTCAATGTCAAACAATTTGTCCTCAAACACCCATACTTTCAATATCCATATTAAAATACTGGAAACAAATATATTTTTTTATTACTGTACTTTCTTAGGAAGGCCAGTCTGGCTTTGCTGAATGCATCCAATCATTACTAGAGACTGTAAAAATGCCTGAAAGAACCCTGGACTAGAAAGCAGAAGAAGAGTTGTAATCCTAACTCTCGAACAGGGTATCTGTTTTGAATTTCTGAATCTCTTTTAATTTTTAAATTTTTTTTTTTTTTTTTTTGAGTTAGAGTCTTGCTCCGTCACCCAGGCTGGAGTGTAAAGGCAAGATCTCAGCTCACTGCAACCTCTACCTCCAGGGTTCAAGCGATTCTCCTGGCTCAGCCTCCCAAGTAGCTAGGACTACAGGCGCGCACCACCACACCCAGCTAATTTTTGTATTTTTTAGTAGAGATGGGGTTTTACCACATTGGCCAGGCTGGTCTTGAACTTCTGACCTCAGGTGATCTGCCGTCCTCAGCCTCCCAAAGTGCTAAGATTATAGGTGTGAGCCACCACGGCTGGCCTCAGAGCCCAGTTTAAAAGGTTTGATCAGGCCGGGCGCGGTGGCTCAAGCCTGTAATCCCAGCACTGTGGGAGGCCGAGGCGGGTGGATCACGAGGTCAAGAGATTGAGACCATCCTGGTCAACATGGTGAAACCCCGTCTCTACTAAAAAAATACAAAAAAATTAGCTGGGCATGGTGGTGCGTGCCTGTAATCCCAGCAACTCAGGAGGCTGGGGCAGGAGAATTGCCTGAACCCGGGAGGCGGAGGTTGCGGTGAGCCGAGATCGCGCCATTGCACTCCAGCCTGGGTAACAAGAGCGAAACTCCGTCTCAAAAAAAATAAAAAAAATAAAAGGTTTGATCTTCCTAACAGACTCATTTATAAAGTATAGACCATATTTTGTTTTGTAATTTGAAACTTCCTAAACAACGGATTGATAGAAACTAAGGTCACTCAATTTTAAATATAATAATCATAATAAAACAGATGTACTTACAGCTTGCATTTCTGTACAGAAGAAATGGTTCATGGAGCTGAAATTCCAAATCTTTATTCACTGGTTCAACTAGATTGTGCATATTTAGTCGATTCACAATGGTAAAACCATGATAAGGGGAAGCTGACCTTAGATTTAATAGAAGAAAAAAAAATACTTAGTTACCATTTAATCTGTAGAAATGTTATATACTATGTACTTCAGTTTCATTTCAAAAAAGAATAAATAAGTTAGAACACTATACAATATTATCAGCACTTAAACCTGGAAACAAAACAATTAAGTCATATCATACTCCTCTTCTGATGAGAAGACTCCAAAGACAGTTTCTCAGAGTAAAGGCCAAAGTCTTTATTGAGGCCACCAAGGCTCCACTTGAGGTACTCCCCCTCCAACTTCATTTCCTATGGCTCTTCCCCAGCTCCTCTTCTCCAGCCATACTGGGCTCCTTGCCACTCTTTCTACATGTGTACTTCTACCTAAAGACCTCTGCCTGGATCACTGCCCCAGAATCTGCACAGCTATCTCATCTCCTGCAAGCTTTTGTTCAGATGTCACCTTCTTAATGAGGCCTACATGAACAACCCTTTTCAATGTTCCCAAGCTCAATGTCTCTAATCTTCCTCTTTTATCCACACCACGTATTTTTAATATTTATTGTCCTCCCCCTACTAGGATGTAAGCCCCATGCAAATGAAGCTTTTGTCTTAAGTTTTTCACACATATTTCTCAAGATAGACACACCACTGCTGAATGAAATATCAATTCAATTGGATTGGCTATAATGACTGCCCATCGTTACAATAATGGCTTTTCTTGCACCAAATTGATCTTGACATAGTGCTCCTGAGTTAGACGGAAAACGCCTTGAATCCTACAATAGGAAGCATCCTTGGTTCCCGTATCAGAGGGATTCAGTACAGGATCCCTTAGATACTCTTCACATTACCTAACACTTCACAGTTTTTCATTTGTTTATCTAGGATATACACGGAGAGATAACAGATTAGGAGACTAGCTTTGAATGATTAAGGCCTGTGCCTACGGTCACACAAATAATGTAACTAGGATTCAGTTTCAGGTTTTTGACTCCAAATCCAGGCTTCTTCTATATGTAGAAATCTCTGCAAAGTGATATTCTGACATCCAGGTATACCTTTATCCAAGGTACACAAAATAGTCTCACATTTTCCAAAGTTTTTTCGGTCTCCTTTAATTAGAACCAGTACCATATAAGCCTCTGCGAATTGTATTAAATCCATCCACTCACTATACTAAATCTCCCACTTTCTACAATCAGTGCTTCTGTACTATAACAATAAAGCCAGTAAAGTAATTTTTCCAAATGTCATAAAAACCAAGATTCTAATAACAGAGTTTCTAACGATTTATATTGCTAATGAAGAGTAATGAAGAGAGGAAGGTAAAGATCCTTGCCTATTTAAAAGGAGAAAGATGAATAGCAGGGAACAAAGTGTCTAAGAAAGAAGAGCTTGGTGTACAAATATCAAAGAATTATACTTAAAAGAAGAAAAAAATGAGTGCGTTTAGACAAGATCTCAAAGCTTTGCTTCAAAATTTAGACTATTTGACAAATTCTTTTAAATTAGCATCAATGAAGAAAGGCAATCCTTAAAATGTAACTCAATACAAAAAAAAAAAGGAAAAGATGACATGTCAGTAATAACTCCTACTTACTCCCTAAGCGTTAGAAAACAAAGGAAGGAACCTGTCCCTGTCACAGTAAGACCTTAGAGGAATATCCAGGAAAGCCAAGTACCCCATGACTATCATATACTGTCAGTTGTCTTTAGGGCCCAAAAGCTGCATAACAAAAAAGTTGCAATGTGCAAACCAATCACATTTAAGATGTGATTATCTTAAAGACAATATTAAAGTTAATCAATTTTCGAAGCAGTTGAAAATAAAAAATATGCTATCAAGAATAATCCAAATTTTCTAAAGAATTCTCAAACAAGATACGGCACATAATCTAGAACTTCTGGGGGTTGGGAAAGAGGACAGAACCAGGCACAGAAGAAAACTGCCCATGTAGTAACCAAAGAACAGAGGGATCGACCTCTCAACTACATTATTTTATAGAGCTAGTCTATGTATTGTCTTTTCCCCAAATATATGTCTTTTTTTCTTCTAATATGGGGGCAAGGGGAGAGAGGCAGGCATCTGTTTTAGACTCAATCATTTGAAATTGCTTTGCTAGGCTGCTAACATAAATTCTAGTTCAGTTTATTCTGAATCACAGAAAGGCTCGGAGAAAAGAAAGAACTTGGTTAAGACTTCACAGCTAGAAAAGGATAAAAACTTGAAGGGGACTAGCAGGAAGGTTCCAAAGACAAATGTACAACAGAATTGAACTGTTCGGCATTGTTCACCATTAGACTGTTAAAAACAAATATACATATTTTAAAAACTTACCTTCGATATACAAATAAGGTCCCTTCTATATCAGTCTTCTCCTATGATAGACAATGAGTCAATTAGTTTTTTTCCCCCATAATCCAACCCCAAATAGTCCCAATGGAGAAGTAATGCATCATGTTTAAGATCTACTTGTTTCATTTCATTTATTATAAAATTAACCACTTTTGAGGTAAAGTCTCCCTCTCATTCTACAAATTGTGGTTACCATTTCTAATGTATCCTTTTAGTGCTACTGATACATACATAAGCATATGGATTGTTTAATCCAGCAACATGTCTGTATCTGCAGCATTTTTTTTTAATTAGTAAAGGAGAAAAATCATAGAATAAACCTTCACTTTTTAAAGCTAAAATGTTTTAGGCAGATTTCTTTAAAGTTAAGTTCCTGTATACTGCAATTTCTTCTCTTTTAAAGTTTATACAAGTTAATTTTAAAAAAAGAAAGAAAGGGACCGGGTGCAGTGGCTCACACCTGTAACCCCACCACTTTGGGAGGCAGAGGCGGGCAGGTCATGAGGTCAGGAAATCAAAACCATCCTGGTCAACATGGTGAAACCCCATCAATACTAAAAACAAATTGGCTGCGCGTGGTGGCACGTGCCTGTAATCCCAGCTACTCAGGAGGCTGAGGCAGGAGAATCGCTTGAATTAGGGAGTTGGAGGTTGCAGTGAGCCGAGATGGCACCATTACACTCCAGCC